ACTGCTTTGGCCGTATTCCACTGCTTTCAATTTGCATCGGGAGGCAGTTTCACTGCACCACTTATTTTCTTTTTCTACATTCAATTCGGTGAATTCATAGACGTGAAAGCAGGCTAGTGCGGTGAAAAGTTTAGCCTCCGCAAGGTTCATTGATGAATACAGCAGCCTATAATGAATACACAATAGAGACCATTTATCATTCACAGATATAATAAATCCCACTAATTAGAGTGTTTTTAGCAATGCACATGTTAAAAAGGCCATTTGGTTCAATACTTTGATTCAGACTGAAATGTCTGAAGTATTATTGGATGGATTACAATGAAATGTTATACAAGCATTAATGCCTTCCTCGGGTTAAAGGCAAATTCATTTAGTGATCTACTGACCTTTCATCTGACTCCACCGTGAAGTTTAGTTTCTTTACAAACATGCAGAATCATTGCACCCAATACTTTATTCCTGTCCAGTAGAGCTTTACTGATGACTGACCTCTTAAGCAATTTGGATTCCAGATTAAAAAGGAAAAAATGAATGAATTAGCCGGCTACATACAGCATCACCTCCAAGACATCACACACAAACTCACCCGTCCCATAATGACATTGATCTCCACGGCCAGCAGGAGCCCATACAGCAGCACCAGCAGGCCAGTGATGCAGTAGCGTAGCTGCCTCGGGCTGATGCCGTGCTCGGTGTACTTGGCGAACTTGATGGTCTTTGTGACGAAGGCCAGCACCCAGTAGATGAGCAGGGCTGAGGGGATTTAGATGGGATCAGAAAACGACAGCAAATCGCTCGGCGAGTCAAAAGGATGACTTGTTCGATTTGTAAAAATCAAATATAGGTGTACTTTGCGAACCTTGCCTCTGTAATTTCAGGTAGATGAGAAAGCTAACAAAAAATGTAAGGATACGGTACCTAATAGTAGTTTGGGGAAGTTGGAGGTCTCAATGTTATGATAGTAGACGATAGAGGTGATACCAGCCATGAAGGCTAGACCTGCTGGCATGTACAGGTGAAGATGAGGGGATTCGCTGAATCTGGGGATGAAAACCAGATAGGAAGAAAAAGCCTAGAGTTAGTAAAAACTGATTCTTAGTAGTCTGCAGAAATGGCTGAAAAAACACCCTGAGTATTTACTGGGCACCGTTGTGCATGGGCTCATTACATGGGACACAAACTAGATTCTTATGGCCCAGGAAGAGAAGGCAAGGCAATTGTATTTGAATAGCACATTTCAACAACAAGGCAATTCAAACTGCTTCACATAAAACCATTAAAAACATCCAAATGTTGAGAAGAGATTTACTAACAGTTAAGAGAAAAGGTTTAAAGAGAGACCAGACAAAGGTATGTTCCCTTTTCAACCACGTCCGCTTGTGTTTCTTCATGAGTCGACTATAATCAACTATTTCACTTAAAGTTTATAAACTGTTGTGTTTGTGGGTAAATGAGTAAATTCTATAACATTATTTTAATAGCTAATACTCTATTCTGTGACAAAGGCGGCACGTTAAATTAGTTACTAGCAGTAGTTTGAATGAATTAGTCAAACATACCCATCGGAGACGATGCCTTCTCCAATCTCGCATACGAGGATGAAGAGCAGGACGAAGGTGAGAATCCAGCGCAAGTTGTGACCCGGGAAGTGAAGCCAGGTGCTGTGGTGGATGTGGACCTTTGAACTTTGGCTGCCCCAGCCTTCAACGCGAATGAAGCAATAAAGCATGTCAGATTTTAGAGACAGAAAATGAAAAAACAGGCAGTCAGAAAATGTGAAGATGATAATAGTTGTCTTTAGCTTGTAAGTGCACTCATTGGAAGGCTTTACTCAGGGCTCTCTACTCCCAGTGCAACGTCGAACATCATGCACTCTGTGACAAAGTGCTCTCCTACAAAGCTCCTGCACAGCTGAATAAAAAATACACTGAAATAAAAGGTCTTCAGAGAATAATGACAGGCTAACAAGCTTTCTCAGTTCGTTGTTAGGTGCTTTATAAGCCGGTTGGAGCAGCCACATGGCTGCTTTCTTAACACCCTACAGTCATTTATTTCAGCTCGCAACGTGTCTGCAGCATCTTTCCTCTTAGTCCCATAACATAAGCCAGATGTTTGTCTCAACTTGGACCATAATATGGTAAATGATAAATGATTCAGCCATCAAAATGCAATTTCTCTCATTAATACGGGTCACAGCTTTGATAAAAACACATCTCGGCTGACCACATTATGTTAATGAGGCCTATTTTGGCACTTTAGCTATTGCAGAGTTTATCTTGCTTTATCTTGAGATTTTTCGGCACAAGCTAGCAATCACAAATACACACACACACACACACACACACACACACCTACACACCCACACACACTGCGAAATACAAAACAAAATCTCTCAAATAACAAGGTTTTCATTATAATTAAGTGCAGGTAATTAGGAATTTGTGTTTTCCAATGTTGTTGGTGAAATGATTAGATGACAACAACAAAAATAAATCCTGAAAGGTAAAGATGGTTTTCTTAGCTTTATGGGATATTAATTGATTTTTGACTGCTGGTGAGACAAAACAAAATAGTTGAATATATCAGCTGTTTCTCTCTTTGTAATGGTTAAAAAGAAAAAAAATATATATACAGGTATATATATATTTACCAGCAGAATAATCAATTGATGAATTGCTCCACACACTACACCACTTGCAATAACGGCACGGCAGAAGGCAACACAGAATACAGTTTGTAAAGTCAGTGATAACAGCACAGCTCTAGGTGACGGGGTCCTTTACTTTTGGCAAAGAAAGACGACGGCTTTTAACATGGGAAACAACATTTTTGTGAACTGGGAACATCTCAACTTATAGGACGAAAAAAAACGAAATGTTTTGAGCAACTCTGAAGGCCTTGTGCGACATTGCTAACAAACAGGTGATGTGTCCAACGGACGGACAGACATTGCCATGAACGGAGGCATTTGTATTTGCTGCTAGCACGGATAAAAATGGACATCTAATACTTGTAAAATGTGTCTTTGGGTTAAAAGTAACCCGAAAGTATTTAGCGGAAAAACAGCAGCACAGAACAAAATCAGCTGACTGAGGCGCCGATATGTGGACCTGCTTGAAAAAGAAGGCGCTCGTGGTAGACACACACACACACACACACACACACTGACGTGAGAGAGCATGCCATGAAGTGGGAGCATGTGTGATGGTGTGCAGCGACACATAGCTGTTTCACATCAACGATGACTCTAATGGAATAGTTAAGAGCAGAGGAGGTGCCACCTCATGCCGTCTGTTTGGCTTTACATACATTAGAGGAGACACGTTTGCTTACAGCTCAAGATCACGGCTCAATATGCCCTGATTTCCTTGAGACTCATTATTTTGACCTTGGCTACGGGACAGCAACACCTAGAGGTTGTGATAGAAGCATAAGATGGTGTTTTAATTGAAAATAAGCAATTGTTAGTTCCCTAATACAAATACAAGTAAAGTAGGCAATGGAGAAAGTGAGAGGGACATACAGAGAGTATGATGAAACAAATCAATCTTTGTGTTACGTGTGTATGTGTGTGTGTGTGTGTGTGTGCGTGTGTGTGTGTGCGTGTGTGTGTGTGTGTGTGTGTGCGTGTGTGTGTGTGTGTGTGTGTGTGTGTGTGTGTGTGTGTGTGTATGTGTGTGTGTGTGTGTGTGTGTGTCTGTGCCGGCAGATGTGGTGGGAAGTAGCTGAGGATCTCACCTCCCCGCGACACTCACCGATGAAGAGGATGGGGAAGGTGATGAAGAGGAGGAAAACGTGTGGCACCACATTGATTGCGTCCAGGAAACAGCCGTTATTCAGGACCCCCTTGTCCACGTTGTAGGCCACCGAGTTATTCTCGTTCCCACAGAATGCCCAGGACATGGTGGAACCGGGACTCTAATGAGAACCGGCCAGAAGTAGAGAGAGAAGGAAGAGGAGGCGAAGCAGGGGGTGGGGAGGCAGAGACAGCGGAGAGACAGAGATAAAAAAATTTTTTTTAAAAGAAGACAGTGAGGAAACACTGGAGACTCGTCAGCGGATAATTCCCAAAGTGACCTCCTTGCCGCTCCCTCTCGGATGCGGCTCCCGAATATCGGATCCGATGAAAGAGAGGAGACCGCAGGAGACCGAAGGAGACCAGAGGAGACCGGAGGAGACGTGAAGGAGGGAGATGAAGGTCAGAGACAGTCACAGCCCAGTGCAGCAGCAGCTCGCTTTCCTCTCCAGCAGACTACGCTGCTTTCCAAACCATGCAGGTAAGAAACATCTGTACCCCGTGTGCCTGCTGTCTTTAGACATCCTCTAGAGCTGGAGATGCACTTGGCGCCGAAAGGCTCCGCTGGAATCCATTCAGGAACACGGAACCACGCACGCACAGCAAGAGCAGCGGTGGCATTCTGCAGTGCACCTGCTATTCCTGTCCCGATACAAACCGGAGCTTTAAGTCGACCTTGGACCACAAAGGCAGAGGGGGGGGGGACAGAATGCCGGCCAGCTAAAGGACTGGGATACAGAACTACTGAAGGTAGGAGTGGGGAGGTGGGGGGCGGGGGGTAGTGAATGATGAAGAGCGAGGGGGAGGAGGGACAATGAGGGGGGTACAGCTGCTGTAGTCGAAGCATGAGCAAGCGCTCTCTCGTTCCAGTCCAAACGCCGCGATTTAAGCAATTACATAACTCTGCACTGGGTGATTTACTGCTTTAGTCCACATAACTACTCCAATATCCTTAAACAAACAGAAGGAGAATCACGGCCGCAACTCAATACATACGTACGCTTCATGCATAAGAAATAGAGACATTAAATATGAATGAAGTCCCGTGATGGATACATTACATTACAGGTCATTTAGCAGACGCTTTTATCCAAAGCGACTTACATTACACTTTAAACCCATGGCTTTTTTCACATTTTTGCCTGGGGAGCAATTAGGGGTTAGGTGTCTTGCTCAGGGACACTTCGACATGGAACATGGGGCAGCCTGGAATCGAACCACCAACCTTGTGCTTCCCAGCACACCTTCTCTTACCCCTGCGCCACGACGACCCCGATACGTTTGGCGTCCGCAGGAGAAGATCTCGCCGCAGCCAATGGCAGCCGACTTGTTCAGAGGGATCAGTGAGAAGACACATGGTAGCAGATTTTGATAATCCACGTATCCACTGGGATGACTCTGAGCCATTTCTGGTCAAAGTGATTTATTTTTAAAATAATCCGTACCATGGCAACAAGAGATACGCCTCAATGCACTGAGCAGTTCACAGTGTTTGCACACAACAAAATAGTAGTGGCGTACATTTAGTCAACCAATAAAAGACCATGTAGGTCTGAGGTTTATCAAAATATGGTCCTCTGCTTGCTATAAAATGTCTTTCCAAGCTGTTCCAAATTAGGTTCTTGAACGTGCAGACAGAAAAGGCTTTTTGCTATAAGTAAATCTCCAATTTCAGATGTCTATTTTTATACTAAAAAGAAAACACCAAAGTGTTCTCTTCAAAGAAGTCGTAATATGCAGCTCTGACATTGAAGGTCAATGCATTTAATATAAAGAGTTCATAGCAACTGCAGCCACCTCCTGTATCTTCCTCCTGTCACCAGCTGTCAGTAAACACTTTAGCATTGCATGGGGATTTGGATTAATTTAGTTAAGAAAATGGCGTATTTTGATAACTGTAACCTATTAATCAAAATGGCACAGCACGGCACACACTAGCCAGATGTCGCATTGGCACGAGTTTCACTGAATAAATGAGAATATATACCAGTATAACTAAAGACCACAGTTTTATCATGCACTGTTTTTCTCTAGTTCTTCTTTTTACAGATGGAAAAACTGACTGCGCTGTGGTGGCCTTGATCAGATAAGACCTCTTCATTGCTCGCCTGGGGAGAGTTTAAGCTGAAGTGTTGGTCCAAAGAACCAAAAGAACCAAAATACCAGGAGTGGCCATATAGATGGATAAAGATAACCTCATAAAGAAAAGGAAAATAGGTTAGTAGCCAGCAAAAAAGAAAGAAGAACAATATTAGGATACATTTCTCCATCTAGCTCTGAAAATGTGTGAGCTGCAGCAACTTAACAGACCAGCCGCAAAAACCTGACACATCCAGCGCTTCACACCTCAGTGTCTTGCCTCTAGTAATGAATAGATGCCTCTGATGTAAAATGCCATTACCACAGACACATGGCTTCTTTAAATAAATGAGATGATTATATAATAATAATAATAATAACAACAGCAATACAAAACCGGTATAATGTAAATGTGTATCCTTTGTAAAAACGTGGAGATTCCCATGTTATCTGTTTTTAGGTCCTACGTGGAATTGAGAAATACGGTGCGGGCAGCCTTCGATGCAATGCGTGCATGTGCATGAAATGCTAACAAAGCGCTGCAGTATACTATTCAATAAGAGAGTATCGATCAGTGGGACCAGATGACACCACCTCCAGCACTTACCGGCTTACATCGGGAGATCATTGTGTGTTTTAGCGGCGGTTCCCTCACGAAACACTCTTCAGTACCGTCACATCCGTCCGCTTGGATTTTAAATAAAGAAAATAGGGTTTTCTAAAAAAAAAAGTCTCCCAAATGACAGTCTCGCATGTGCTCACAGGGCGGCCGACGTCTCGCTGACCCACTTTCTGCGCCGCCGCTTAAAGAGGGAAGCCGCCAAGTAGCTGTCCGCGGTGCTGAACCCGGGTACCGAGGAGGAGGAAGAGGAGGAGCGGAGGAAGAGGGAGAAGGAGGCAGATCCTCCACCCAAGGCCCCCCTTTGGTCTCTTGTCGTGAACCGCCGGGCGGCGGGTTCAACCAAACCCACCACAGCGGTCGATGCGACGCTGAAACTCAGCAGCAGCATATTACAATACACCGTGCATTTTTTTCGGCTTTTGTGTTGTGTTCGCTTTATTTAAGACTACCTAACATGCATATTTAGCGCAATTTCACTACTGTAAACTGATTTATCTTGAACAAGTCTTTATTTATGGATGCGGCATTCGGGTTTATTCAAATTAGAATGATAAAACGCGCTGGGACGCCCTCAGTCAGAGTCCGCTTGGTATTAAAGAAGGCGCACCATGGCCCCCTATGGACATTTAATAAAGAAAACTGTCTGGCTCCCCACACTCGAAGGAAATCGATGCATAACTGGTCAAATAGTAATAATTATATAATATATAATATAATAATTTACAATGACTGCAAAGGAAATCAAACATTTTAGAAGCTAATCTATAATTAAGTATGATGGTTTATTGATCCTAGCAGACCCAACCGGTTTACATTTCTACTTAGCTAGAGCTAAGTACCACGTTCCTTTTAAACTGCAAACAATATACGACACCAATAATATACAATACCATGGAGTAGGGATCAAAATCTTCCTCATATTTCTGAAATAGATAGAGAATTAACATGTAGCTCATTAAAACTGATTGATACATTAATAATGGATTAGCAAACTAGACAAAATGAAAATGAAAGGAACTTAGAAATATTAGTAAGATTTCCTTTGACAACCAGTTTTATAGAACAGATGTAAAACCCGTCTATTAAATGAAAAACATGAAGACACAGGGTGACTTTCAAAGACTCCCACTTTCATTCAATAATGGCGAGCACAGTTAGCAGGAACCCGCGCACACTCACACAAAATCAGTCCTAATCACTCCTCCCAAAGACGGCAGCAATTTAATTTGAGGGAAGAAAACAGAACAACGGACATCACATTAATCATTTACATCTTTATTTTTGTGTTTTGATGCAAACAAATAAAGAACCCGTTTGTAACATTTGATCTATGTGTTGTGACTGGAGAAGGCACTTGAAGAGACCCAAAACAATTGAATGGATGTGTTATTTAGAATGATCTAATCTCACGAGAGTGATGTTCTCCGTCTGTGAGCAAGAAAAACTCTAATACTGCACACGGGACCAACTGAAGTAAAAAGACAGATTACTACAGTCGATGACGCTGAGGCCGTCTGTTGCCAGATCAAAACCGATAAGAGCAGTAAGAATGACACATGCGTTGCCACAGTGTTTGTTCACAGTACTGCCGTGTACTCCACATACACAAAAGAAGTACAAGCTACTCAACACGACCTTAAGGCCCGGACGATGAGGTCCACAAGGACACCTGGTGTGTGTGTGAGCATACAAAGTAAGAATAGGAGAAAGAAAACGCTCAAGAGAGGTAAAAACCAATACAGGTGGTGAGAAGTAGAGATTACTTGTCGTTTGCCGTTTGATTTAAAAGACGCGTTGAAAGGCACCATCCGTTTCAGCATTTCCGGAGGCTGAAAACACATCAAACACGTATCAGCTTTAGCGCACAAAACAAAAACACAACAAACAGCACCACCGGTGCTGGACAGTGGTGTGGGTGGTGCAGCAGTGACAGCAGTGGTGTATTCTAGTCTACCGGCTGTAACAACACTGAGTTATTGACTCAAAATCAACTTTAAAATGTGGTAGTATTTATTCTAATGAAGGATATTGTTTGCTGAATATCGTGTGTTGAAAATAAAGCGGCAACGCTAACTTTCTTTTTCCAGCACTTCCAATTTCTTTATGTTAATTAAACAAACTGAAGTACAGTCGTGTAGACTACTTGATTAACACACGTGGTAAATCATCTCAGTGGGGATATTGATGATGATTTACGGCAACCTTTCAGCTCCCACAGAGTCAAGGTGACTCCCAGCAAGCGAGTTCACCTTCCGGCTGCAGAGTTGCTGCTGAACTGGTGGAACGAATGTGTGGTTGTGTTTCTCAGGCGTAACCTTTAATGCCAAGTAGAGAGTTACTAGAAAGCGTTTCTCTGATATAAAGGTAGCTTGAAAAAAATACATAATAAGTTTCACTAGAGATTTTTGACAGGGAGGACAGATGCTTTCGCCGGTGATCTAATAAACACAGATTGGTTGAGCTGGAGTGTCTGGAAGACTCCCGGGACAAAGAGAGATTATGTCTGCAACCGGTGCCATGTTTGATCACATTATAGGACCTTATTACATTGGATCTGGGAAGATTTATGCAAACGACTGCACGGTGTTGTGTGTCATACCAGGCCATCGGAACGGAGTGCAGGTCTGAGCGGATCAGGTCGGTGGGTTTGGGACTGTGGCAGCATGACGGGTTTAGACATTACAGGGGGCATCTGACGCCTCTGGTTGGGAGGACTAGGAGCTAGTTGCTATGGGGGAAAGACCGTGTTTCCACGCAGCAGCTGAGTGTACGTTTGCATTCAAACAGTGTGTTCATTAAACAAAAGAAGCTTCAAATTTATAAAACGGTCATAGCATTGAGTAATGTGGGAAAAAACACGATTTTTACTGAAAAACACTCACCAAGGGGGTGCTTGAATTGGAAATACAACTAGCGTGGGAGGTTTTTCTCATTACCTGGACCACAGTAAAATAAAATTACTTTCTGACCTCCCGAGCAGAGACCATCTCTACACTGCAAGCAAACACCACTCACTAGCCGAATCCCTCAAGGCCTTTTTCCTCAGTCGGTATAGCAAATTGAAAATTAACGGCCACTCAATTCAGTCAAGATGAAACGGTTCCATCATGCATAAAACATCCCAAGGCATAAAACCCAAGGCAGTTTTCTAGCATTGGCAGGAGAAGGAGGCCGCCGCTGTGGCGGGGGATGGGCATAGCTGGGTGTTGTGGGGTTCAGCTTGGTTGAGGGCGGGGGGAGAGGCAAGGGAGGGGGAGGCTGGCTCGTGCTGGGCTGGGTAGGGGCCAGTCTCTTCAGAGGGCCCCTCAGGCTCTGATCCACGTCATCCAGGTTAAAGTCGTCCAGGTCAGTGGTGGCCAGGTGGAGGCCGCCGGGGAAACGCTTCACCCTCGGCACCGAGGCGGGGGAGCGCGGCGGCGATAGCTTAAAGTCACAACGACATGAAAAATGACCTGAACCAACATCTATGAATATTGTCTCATTCTCTTCTTTTAATCAACATGGACATTTTGCTGTTTCAAAAGGCAAATGGTCACCTGAGGAAGACCAATTTATGCCAAATTTACGAAAAAAGGAGTGAATTTGGTTTTGTTTCTTGGTATTTCCAAATTCAGTCCCCCTTCCCTTCATCTCCTGTACTCTCCTACTGATTTTACTTGCTAGAAAATTAGCTATTCTTTTGTATTATGTTGTATAAACTCTCCAACTGCACACTCATTCTCTAATCTGATGAATCATATAAATCATATAACTTAATATTCAAACTGAATTAAGTTACAAATGGCATAGCAGTGTAAACCCCATCCTTCCTCCAACATAAACAGTCCTTCCATCACCAATTAGACGTGGCAGGAAGAAGGTGCATCCTCAGCAAATAGTTGGCATATAACTTTGTGTGTAATTTTATATGAAACAAGAATACATTGTTGAGAGCCATGAGTACAAAGAGGTCTGCGCAGAGGAGGTCTCACTCTGTACCTCTGGGGATTCATTCTCCACGCAGGATTTCTGCTCCAAACGGGTCTGACAAAGACGCTCAACCCAGTGATGCACTTTCTCTGACTCCTCAAGGTCTTCTCTCTCCGTCTCTGACACCTGGTACAAAAAGGTCAGCACCGGACAATCGGAGTTTAACCTTTTAAAATAACCATTGCATCGTCAAACGAATAACATGGCGGCATTTAGTTGAAACCACAACATGACGCCCTGAGAGTTCACAGTGCCATTGAACCCTATCCATATGAAATATGGGCTATAAGCACTTGTTTTTGTATCTCCTGCACCAGACGATTGATCTTAAGTTGCTTCTCTCGTTCATACATTTCTTGCTTCTCCATGGCAAGTTTCAGCTCAAACTCCATCTCTTTCTTGTTTTTTCTCTGCTCCTGCAGTGTGTCCATGTTGGACACTTACTTCTTTTTCTTCTTCTTTTCTTCTTTCTGCTTTGACTTCAATTAGTCAAAATGAAAAACCACGGGACAGACAAATCTGCGACTCCAAAACCACGCAGCACGACATGCAGAAATAGCTTGTGACATCACCCAGTGTTTTGCAGGACAAACAGAATAATTTAACTATTTTTTTATCTCCTCAGAAAACTCTTTCACCACACGGAAGCCATGCAGCCTGACCGTACCTTGCGGAGAGACGGCAGCTTTCCCTCATAGCGATAAAACCAGCCAAATGCTAAAGATGGAGATGAACACAGGTCACTCTGATGCGTTAAAATGAATTAAATCCAAGGTTAAAACAGAAAGAGAAAAACAGATTAAGCCTGCTCCATTTAGGCACCAAATAAGTACATGTAAAAAAATGAATTTGAGTGATGCAAAAGAAGTACAGCTTTCAACAGCTCGCAAAAAATATGCAACTAATTTAACATCTGGTCAAATTCTGGTTGTCAAAGGAAATCTAGACTCTGTGTACGCCGGTTTGAATGAAAAACCTGGCAGCTGCGGCTCCAGACTCACTTGCAGGGGCGGGGGCTACTGGGACTTTTGGGCCGGTCTTTGGCTCCCCAGTCCTCCTCCCACTCTCGGCTGTGCTTCGTCGTAAGGGTCGGTCACTTTAAGGACATTAAAAACAGTCGTATACTTCTCCATCTCCTTTTTATAGCGTTCCTCTTCCTCTGCGGCCTTCTGAGAGATCTCCATCTTCCTCCAGTTGAATAACATGATTGATTTACAGAACAAAACTCTGTCCACATAACATGCTACAGCACGGGGCTATAAATAGAGACTGCATGACTTTAATCCAGTTCACGAGCAATCGAGCACGTCAGCCTCGCAGTGTGCAACACAACGCCACATTATTTATCCGGAGACGTCTCTGGCATCACTGAGAAACCAGCGTGTCCCCCGAGTTTACAAAATTTGCCAATTACTCAGAAACATGAATGTGATGTGACAAGAGAGCAATTAATGGTCCTCAGATGGATGGAAAATGAATGCGTGTTCTGTTTACATTCTGTGCACCTGATTAATGTTAATGTTAACTAATGTGGCTGCACGTTGGTGTTTGTTTGAGCTGTGCACTCACTGCTTCTCCTTCTGCTCTTCAAGGATTTTGTTGGTTTCCAGCGCCACACTCTTGTGTGATGGCGTGCAGCGACACATAGCTGTTTCACATCAACGATGACTCTAATGGAATAGTTAAGAGCAGAGGAGGTGCCACCTCATGCCGTCTGTTTGGCTTTACATACATTAGAGGAGACACGTTTGCTTACAACTCAAGATCACGGCTCAATATGCCCTGATTTCCTTGAGACTCATTATTTTGACCTTGGCTACGGGACAGCAACACCTAGAGGTTGTGATAGAAGCATAAGATGGTGTTTTAATTGAAAATAAGCAATTGGTAGTTCCCTAATACAAATACAAGTAAAGTAGGCAATGGAGAAAGTGAGAGGGACATACAGAGAGTATGATGAAACAAATCAATCTTTGTGTTACGTGTGTGTGTGTGTGTGTGTGTGTGTGTGTGTGTGTGTGTGCGTCTGTATATATACACACACACATACATATATACATACATATACATACTAATTAAAATAATTCTGCATAGCAGAGTGGGCCAAACCTCCTCCACAGCGATGTGAGAGACTCATGGCCGGTTATCACAAACGCTTGATTGCAGGTGTTGCCGCCAAAGGGGGGCACAACCAGTTATTAGAGGCAGTTACTTCTTCACATGGAGCCAAGTCGGTTTATTTTTTCCCTTAATAGATGAAATCATCATTTAAAAACTGCATTTTTTGGTATTCACTTGAGTTATCTTTTATTTTAACCCCTAACCCCTTTCATGATCTGAAACATTTAAGTGTGCAAAATATGCAAAGAACATAAGGAACCAGGAAGGGGGGGCTGTTTCTTGGCACTATATATGTACACACACATATACTGTATATGAATATATACTTGCAAGTGCATACCTGAAGACCAACATTCCCGGCTGGACCGTCTTTGACCATCTGTGATATATAGAGACCACTGCCAAACTCCAGCCCTCCACGGACGCTCAGACCCAGTCCATCACGATGAGTCCGGTCCAGACGCACCTCTTTCAGCTTCCTACACAGTGACGACAGAGAGGAAGATGTGAAGCGGGACGTACGAGCCACGCAGCATCGTTTCAGTGGGGAACAAGGAGAATACCGAGAGAGATTGTATGGTGTAAAATAGTCTCGGTGGCGTGTTTTCATTAAAAAAGGGACATAAACTTGCATTAAAGACCGGGAATAACGGGACGCGAGTCTGTGCTGTACTCACCGTGACCTCTTTGGGGTGAGCAGGTCGCAGGCCGTTTTAGTAGGATAAGAGGTCGGATGGCATCAAACAAGGGCAAGCGCTTTGGTTCATTGATGACCAGCTTCAGGTCCCCCACCAACACGGGCAGATCCATTGACCTGAAAGAGGAAGGGCATAAATATACATTTTATATTTTAACTTTTGCGTGCTTTGTTTCATACACAATGACTTGTATCCCCTAACTGAGATTGACATTTAAAGGGATATCTGAAAACTTACCCTAGACAGAATTAGTTGTTCGTTTTATTCATTTGTCTGATAACATCTTAACATAGGCAGATTTTTTTTACATTTTTTCAAAGCTTTCCAGGCCCAATCAAGTGGCATCATTAGGAGTTCATTTTATCACACGTACCCCAGCCCCATTAGCAGTAGCACATCCTGTTTAATATTCAATTTGAAGGAACAAAGAACAAGACTGATTACATATAATCGCTGATTGGAAAAATATCCAATTATCCCTCTCACAATTCAAAGGAAGCTCAAAAAGCAACAAGAAAGCAATTATAGGAACAAAGTAAAAGCTACAGTGTAAAATCTGTCCCCGTGGCCTCCTCTTTAAATTATTAACAAGTGTCATTTCAGTCCTGCTCGCAGAATGAACATTAAAAGACCTTTTGTGGATAACTGGCCAGGCTTGTCGGAGCACAGTGGAAAATGATCAGATGCGGTCGGGGCCCCAGAGCTCTGGCTCTCAAACACCCCACCCCAACCGAGACCCTCTGACCAGCCCGTCATCACGAAGCCTGATTAACAGTTTAAACTGGGTGCATCAGAAAATGTGTGCAACAAGACAAAGAGCGTTTGAAAACTAAACGTACAAAGCTGGTAAGGAATTAGTCGACGTTAGAGAAGTTTTCCAGCAGTTTTCAATGAACAAGAAGAAACAACAGCATATGAATTAAATGTAGCCTTTTATATAATTGTTAAAAAAAAGTATTGTTCTTTGAATCTTTATTCCGCCTTCTTCTTCTATTTCTTCCGTTGCACCTTTCAACTCCTTCACACTTTCAGCTATTAAAACCGTTCCAATATTAAAATATTCAACTCCTTTCCGGCTTTCCAGCTATGACTTTTCAGCTTTCTACCTCTTAAGCTTGATTTTATATAAATCAGTAATCACGAATATTTCTTCTAATGGTTTTCCAATGGAGATCGTGTTCAAATCCTCTTAAACTTCTTCAACCTAAGGCCTTCTTCGGCCAATCTCCTCTGAATCGTGCTGGATGACACACCAAACAGATCCGCGATTTCTCGGGTTGATAGACCGGACTACACAAAGTTAGCCAGCTTGTCGCCAGGAATATCCAGAGGCGGGCGTCCAGCACCTGTGCTTGTAGTACCAGCGCTAATGTTGACTTCATCAACTTTGACCTCTTGAGGACACGCACGCGGTGCTCAATCAGTCTTAAACAATTTAAAACTTCGTCGTCTATGTATACATCTTGAAGAGCACTTATCCGCCCTAGTATTTCCAAAAAACCCTCAATATGTGTCAAAATCGTATCTGCAGAAAACCCATGTTGATCGATTTGATCTGCTAATGCTAGCATGCTACCTCGGAGCCCACAGACGTCTTCCATTATATCAACACTCACGTCCCTTAGCCAGCCTACTTTTGCACACGGCTCTGTTGTCTGTTCTGAATGTTAGATGTAGCCACGCCCCCTGATTTGCATATAAGAACGTGAAATGTAAAATGGCATTATGAAATAAAAGACTCTGGAAATGAAAAGTGGCATTATGAAATAAAAGTACCATGAAATGAAAAGTGGCATTATGAAATAAAAGTACCATGAAATAATTAAATGTATTTAATATTTATGTATTTATTGCCTCATCTATTTATTTCATGATGTATTTCAAATGCATATTTCATGTATTTATGTATTTATTCTTTTATTTAATTTTGACTAAAACGGCATTCCATAGTGCAGGGTCAACTTCTGCTCAGCACTGACGCCACACACCTGTGGAAAAGCTACACAACTTTTGTTTTGCTTCTAGCTTCATTGCAACAACCCTCTCTGTGCCGCGACTTACCTCGCTCATGTCTCCATGGTTCAACTGCGCCGCAAACACGCTTCAATACACAGCGGAGCGATTAAGCGAACATGGCGCCTCCATCGAGTGGAGACGTTCCTGAAGTGCACGATGTTGCCAAGCAACGATCGTCTCGACAACACCGCGGTCGCCATGCAGAGCAGGATACGCCCAGACCGAGCGGACCATCGCTCCCAGTGAATGAACGGGTGTTAAACACCAGGAAGCAAGTTCACTGAAGGTTGATCCTCCGGGGACGGAGAACGGAGAACATGTTTAGCACTACGAATGTATTGAACAGTGTGGCGCAGAAAATCATTAGTTAAGATTGAAGCAACATGTATTTAATATGTGCATTGTTACACTGCTGGAAATGACTCCCACGACACCCAAAAGGTGATGAACCCAAAGGGTTTGACCCCTGAACTCAGCACGTCACAACGCGTTTCCTGGGTGCTGCACATCTGCGCTGCGCCCTTCTGTGGCCGCAGATCTACATGGAGCGAAGAATAATACCAGAGAAAAGGGTACCAGGGAAATAAGCAATGCCGGATTATACTATAAAAGAAGTGATGACTGGTACATTGACGAGTAAATGGAATTCACTACTTTTGACTAGACATTTGAAATATCATATATTTTATATAAGCAAGCAAACATACATTATTAAACATATCCCAGTGAGCACAATACGTAATTTCAACGTTGAAATATGGTTGAAATCGGGTTGAAATGAGGTCTGAACGTCTAAGACCTCATTTCAACGTCTTTTCAACCGGCTAAAAATGGGATAAAACATCAACGTGCCAGAAAACATCAATTTGTTGACAAATGTGTCATGATGTAACGTAAGGTTTAAAGAGAGACGATATTAACGTTAAGATTTTCATAATAATTAATGAACTGGTCGGCGAAATTTGGTCTACGCGAAGACGTAATTTCAACGTATTTACTATTTCGCTTAAAACGTCATAAATATGAAACTACGGACTGCGTGCTGTTAATAAGATGCGTTTAAGACATAATAATGCGGGCAGGTTCAAACATTACTTGTAAACACGTGACTCCGCTCACATCTGTAACGCGCATGCGCGAGTTCTTAGACGCCTGCAGAGCTCCGAGCGGACGAGGCGAAGTTACGGCAGCAGAGCGACATGAACGGGCTGATAGAACCACGACTACCGGCTCCACTACTCTGTAAGTACGCGAGTGTTTGAATGAAGCACACCTGGAACTATAACCGGGTGTTTTACTTGTGCTGCCCACCCGATACGGGAAAGACGGCCCTTTTTGTTAAGCTAGTTAGCGTTAGCGCAGGTAGTTTGCTAGTTAGCATGCTAGCTTGGAGCATGCTAGCGTGCATGATGACCTGGACCAAAAGTAAACATCCCAGAATATTTTTTGTGTGTTTGGTGTTACTAATGCGTTAGGTTGTTGCTGTATCCATACATGTTATTGCATTTCACATTAAAAATACGTTTTTAAAGCAATGGGGGCTAAATACAGATTGCAAGGGTGAAGGGCTGAATTCAACAAGTTGTGCTCTGTAAACAAGAGGGACAACACATTGTAAGTTACTGCTGCTTAAAGCATGATACTGTGTAATATACCTGGAAATGTTACTCCAGAAATACCATAAGTTGCAGATGAATTGTTATCTTGTTGATAATGTAATAAGTGAACAATCTATAAATTAGGGTTCTAACACACCTGCTGCTGTTATTATTACTAGTTTATTACTGTCATCATAAACCCAAATGACCAACTTTGCCTTTGTGCTTTCCCACCTCACAGGTTTCTGCGGGTGGTGGTTGCATCTGATGTTACGTCTGATGATGGTTGTCCCTGCACTGGTCCTGCCTTACCCCTGGCTTAGTAATCCACAATATTAGAATCATTTCTGTCGTAGGAATTTGATGTACTGTACATCTTTAAATTGTTCATACTCTACACACCTACTGCCTTGCTGTTTTCTCCTCAGGTTTCTCCTGGTTGAAGGTTTTTTACATTTTGGGGGTTTTAGGACAGGATGTTGCATGTTTACAGATTGCAAAGCTGAACAAAATAAAATGATTTGAATTGAATAAACACGTTGACCAGAGAAATCTGCAATTGAGGGCTGTTCTCTGCACTCTGACTCCCTTTACACAAAGAATCCTCAAGTGAGGATGACGGAGATGCAGCTGATTTCAGGTATACTATCCCAACTCAAGTGACTCACAGCCACATCTTGTTACAGAATCTAAAAATGAAGTTCAAATGATTCAGAAAAATGGTCTACAAACACAGAATTGTTGTTGTTGAACACAGAAATGTTTCTGCACTTTTAAATCCATAGTTAATTTCCCTGAAATATATATATATTTTTTGTATTTTTAATTAGGAAAAGTGTTATATGTATAGTGTTATATTTATAATAAATGCAAATTAATAAAATAATGTGTTTGTCCTTGTTAAGGGCTGTTAACATGACAACTGTGACTAAGTATGTAACTTGTACGTTTCCAGCGAGCAATTTATCCGTTGAAACAACGTTTAAAAGACGTCTATGGCCCGACGTTGAAAAGACGTTGCAAATTGGTTCAAAAGTGAAAGTTGTTTCAACGTCTATTCATAGACGTTGAAAAGACGTTTACGTTTAGACCACATTTCAACCAGCGAGCATTTCAACGTTGAAAAGACGTTTAAAAGACGTCTATGGCCCGACGTTGAAAAGACGTTGCAAAATGGTTTAAAAGTGAAAGTTGTTTCAACGTCTATTCGTAGACGTTGAAAAGACGTTCGCGTATAGACCTGTTTTCAACGTGATTTATCATATCGGTGGTAAACTTACAAATGTGGACGTAGTTTCTTTTTAAACATCTAAAATAATGATATAGCATACAAGAGAAGACGAAATATTACCGTATTAAAAAATCACGTTGAAATGTGGTCTAAACATAGACGTCTTTTCAACGTCTACGAATAGACGTTGAAACAACTTTTACTTTTAAACCATTTTGCAACGTCGGGCATAGACGTCTTTTAAACGGCTTTTCAACCAAAAAATGCTCACTGGGTATATTGTGGTCACCTGACATCAATGAATCAAAGAACTCACATCACAGAACACCACATGATTTTAGTTGTCTTTTGTGGAATTCAACACTATTCTGTTACAAGAGTCTTTAGCAGAAACTGCGCTCTATTGTCACCTTCTGCAGTTTTTTCATGTATGTACTATTTAATCGTGTTATTTATTCTAACAGGGCAAGCCCTCAACAATTTGGGAAATGATTTTTCCGTGCACTGAAACTCACACACTTAAACCCTCGCGACCTAAATTCAGTTCTATTTCGCATCGGCCATATCCATATTACACTACCAATCTTTATTTGTTCTTCCTTCTCTCCTGTGAGGCTCACAGTGGAATAAAGGCTCTGGCTGCTGTACGCTCCCATGCCGCAGGGGGCGCTGTGGGCCTCAGCTTCACTTGGGGTCGCGCGAACAGCTGACACCGCGAAGAAGAAGAAGTTCATCCTGCTGTTGACAGGGGAAGAGAATATGAGGTAAGCGTACCAACGTCTTTTTTTATTTATTTCTCTCCAGATGTAATACAGCTGCGTGACCCGCAGCGGGGGACGTGAACGCGTGTCGGTAGAGGACGCGGGGGGAATATGGAGGTTGTAGACACCCCCCGGCGTTAGTAGCCTGGTGTCACGAGCGCGACCCACATGGAGGTCACAGGTTACAACACCGTGGAAGTCTGTTGTCAAACGGGTTTATGACGCAGTGTTTGTGCAAACAGAGGAAGGGCAGGTGAAATGCAGATGAGAGGGCAGCGTCCTTCGGACCACAAGGCTCGCTGGTACAAATCGTTAACCCGGTTGCCGTGGAAACCAAACGGCGTTATCAATAGACTTGAGTGCGCGGGCCGCGATGGGAGACGCAGTATTTGTCTTTCCCCTGTCGAACGAATTCAAACGATGTGGTCCAACTTACATGTTCAGTCACGATTCGGAAAACCTCAATGCAAATAACACGACCAAGTCACATGTACCAATCAATGCCTTCATAGATAACAGTTAGATAATGTAGAGCACTTTATGCTTCATATTTTTTAACTTTTTTAATTTTTAACTTTAACTTTATTCTCTTGTTTTATACTAACCCATAGCCTTATTCTACTAACCCATTGCATTAGCATTTCATTTTACTTTATTTTATTACTTGTGCACTGCTGTCTTGTTGTCTATTGTTACACTGTCTACTGTCACGCACCAACCGCCAAGACAAATTCCTTGTATGTTTGACATATTTTGGCAATAAATGTTTCCTGATTCCTGATAACGCATGTGTCATAATAAACGTGTTTCCAGCAGCTTCTAGACTGACCTCATGTGTTCTTGTTTTACTTGTTTCTGTTTTCTCTTAGGAGCATTGATTTAATACCAACAGAGGAGAACTGACTAGTAGTGTTTACGCTGTGGAGACTTTAGCTGACGTCCTAAACGTATTCCACATCAAGATCAGTGGATTGTCTGTGACGATCAGCCTCTTTCTCGTCTTTCTCGGCCTTCTCTACTGGTGAGCAGAGCTGTAGTGGAGGGAGAACGCACGTAAACGCCGTTTACGCACCTCTGGGATTTTGGAAATAGCGTTTACGCACCTCTAAATAGCATTTACCCACCTCTAAGTGGCATTTACGCACCTCAAAGTTCCCTGCGCCTTGTATTCTTCCATTGGAATAATCCGAAATAGACTTGGTGTAATCTCAAAACAGCTAAGACTACGTTTCCTATTGTTGAACTTATAAACGCCGTAGTCTGAATCCTTTTCATCTGCGCTGTATTATGGTCTGTGAGCATCCAATCAGTGCCTTGCGGCTGCAGCAGCGACACCAATCAGGATCCAGGAGGTGTGTAAACACATACACGTTGTGGATCGGCCTGCCTGTCTACCTGTTTCTTTTAGTCGGCGCTGTATGCGTCCATCTTTATTAGTGCATATTAACTTCTGCGCATAAAGCAATGGATATCTGGCGATATTTGAAGAGACCATCGAGCGCTCCCACTCCCACAGATGCCCGCAAAAGGCCTCAAGTACAAAGTAAGACTGAAGAAGATCAATTCACGTTTTTA